GAGATATCAATCGATGTCATTTACATAATGTTAAATGACATATTATTAAACCGTGCATTATCATATAGACAAAAAAGCTAATGTGAGTAAATGAAAAAAAATAACCTTTTCATCATTGGTTCATTAATGTTTTACCAGTGCATATCTGATTCACAGGCATTATTAATTCCTACACAACACAGCCAGGGGGCATATGTGACTAACACATTGGAAACACACATCACACGCATACATTACGCTCCGACAGCTACTTCATTTATGGAATTCAACCAAGCATCCAAGGATTAATGAGACTGAGGGATTATAATTCCAACGGCATCCCTGAACGTATGGCTGATGTTAGACGTGATCTAAGCATCACAATACACTTCAGGTCTGTTCAGGTCTGGAATCCTAATCTTTGAAGTACCTCTTTTTTCTTCCTCAGCCACACAGTGAAGTATAATTTCTACAAGGTTTCTCTGCTGCTGTTCTCTGTGAAAAGTCACGTAACAACAGTGGAGCAGAAACTCTCTCTGTTCAGGTCACCAAGTCAGACAGGCTGGTGTCTGAGCATTCAGAAAACATTCACAACATCCTTCAGCCTTGCAGGGAGTCCTCACTTCCTGCCGGTGTACAGCAGTCAGTTTCAAAGCCCTACGACAAATTGAAATAATCATTTTTAATGCAAAAAAAAGAAGAATTTTAAAGTCAGAACACCTTTTCAAGCAGAGAATTCTGCCGGACGTCTTTCACACCACCTCATGGCCTGCTGCTTTGTCTCGGCTAAAGTCTAAATTGAGTTCCTTTCAAATGTTGTCTCAGCTTTTTGAAAAGAAAAGGGAAAGAAAAATCAGATGAAGCCAAGTCAGATAAAACACCACACAGCTCCAGGGTTTACAAAGACATAAAAACATACAGTAGAAACAGACAATACAGGAAAAACAACACTTCAATCCTGAAAGAGCTGAAAGATCAGACCAGACAACTAAAAGCATGTGCAGAGGTCGATGTTAGAGATCGAACCCTCAACCTCTGTTAACAAAACCCATTAGAGACCTCCATAATTGTCACTTAATCCCCGGGATTTTCTGATTGATTTTCTTATCTCTGAAGGTAATAATGTTCAACATCACAGGACGAGACATTGGAAATCATGTTTTTTAGTTAGTGTTCTGTATGTTCTGTATGGCTGCGGTGTGTGACTGTCTCCTGTTTGTCTACAGTTTAATATATATATATATATAGAAAAAAGTGCTTCACCTGCAAGTGTTTAGAAACGGCTGTCACAAATAATTTAGTTTAGTTGCCTTCAGGCTTTTTGTTTGGTTGGTTCTGTTTCACTTGTACAATTTGACAACATGTTTTGAGGATATAACGTATAACTTAAAAATGAAGGTAAAATAAGGAAAAATCAACAAAAGATTTTTTTCATTTCATGCTATGTTTACATATGTCATCAGACATGATCTTTTGTAAAGACAGAAAACTGAGAATTGATTTTGTTTTGGGAAGAATCTGCATCTCCACGAGGACGAGGACGAACCAGAGTGATGAGAGCTGTTGTTGTGCTGATCTTTGTCGTACCAGTCGTAACGTGTTGATGTTGCTGGAGATAAATGTTTAATGATCCGCACTGCAGGATATCTGGGTCATTAATAGTTTTGGAAAATGCACATCTGTCATTTCTCTCCTCGAGCGAAAAATGAACTTCTTCCACTATTCATATCCCAGCAGCTCTGCATCTGACAGAAGTGTTGTTTTTTTTGTTTTGTTTTTTATATTTTGGGCTGCAACCAAAAGTGAAGTAGTAGTGTAAAAAAGTGTAAAAGTGAACTTTTGGGCTGCAACCAAAAGTGAAGTAGCGGCCTGAATGTGCTGAGAACTTAGGACCTGGTCAAACACAGATTTCCAGAGTTGTTTTTATCTGATTTTAAAATCTCCTCTGGTTGTTAAGATGCCTGATTTTGGTAGTGACATTTTAACCACTCGTGGATAACATTTAAGGGATGACACGTTGAGATGTTCGGTCAGGACAGGTCAGAACCAAATGTCCTTACAAAGGTTAAGTTCCACAATTTGGTTCTTTGCGTTTACATAACCTGGAGAGTTCCAACTGAGGCTTTTCTCCATCGACAAAATGATCCCAATATTGTAGAAACACCTATTGGTGTGTCAAAGAAAACTTCCAGTGTGTGTATTTCACTCCCAGGGACAAGTGACTGTGCGTCCTTTTCTGTGAAGCTGCTGTGTGAGACATTAATGGCGTGGACGTCCAGCCTAACTAATTTGCTCACGTTAATAGCTACAAGCTTGTCCTGTCTCCTGGTTAGAGCCGTTCTTTAATTGAGTTTGAGCAGAAAAGTACGGAAAAAGTTTCTAATCTCTACTGTTACTTTCGGTGTCAGAGACGCCGATGATGAGTTGTACATGAATACATGAGGTATTTTGCTTCATATAAGTGGAAAAGCCAGACGTATGCATTTTTTAAATGGCCGTGTTTGAGGCCAGCAGTTGCACATTGTGGCCACTTTTTGTCTAAGCCTCGTGTTCCCAGTAAAATGTTGCTCATGTCAAGAGGAATTTAGCTGATGTGACAAGTTAACTTGAGCACAGTGCCATGTTATATATCAAGCAAAAAAATATTAATGAAATCTTGCTTATTCAGTACAAATTGTCACAGCACGTGGCACGATAATGATAATCTTTTGTGTCCTCATATTTTATCTCTGCTCCCTCCACTCCCTCCACCCTCCAGGGACCCCCCTCCGTGTCCCTATACGTCCTTCTGAGGTTTGTATCCACATGTATTACGGCAGCGCTGCTCCAGTTGCGGGTGCCAGAATGAAATGTCAAACTGAAGTGAACTATTATTGTGTGACCTACATTAGTCTGTCAGGGGCTCCAGTTAAATTCCATGCAGCTCAAATGAGCCGCCGCCTCATCTGGTTCAGGTGCTCTTCTCATCCTTTCAGTCTGATATTAAATGCTGTTTAATCCCAACCACACACTTCATATCTGCACGTGATGAAAAATACTTTTTACTTACTTTTTTTTTTTAGGTCAACCGACCGTTCCCCCTTGTGTCTCTCAGCACAAAGGTAACACAGAGAGGACAGGTGACAGGACAACAGAGTAAACAAACACCAGAAGAGGACATTTAAGTGAAAAGTGTTGTCCTGTCCTGTTGTATTGTTGTCGATGGCCACGCTTGGCTGCACATCAACAGTCATCGCTGAGAAACAGGTCAAGCTCAGCAGCTGTCCTGACACAGACTGACACTTGTCAGTTACCGTTAGAAAAAGTATTACTTCAAAAAGAAAGAACTTTGCAGAATATTGTTGATTATCTGCCTGTGTTTTTAAAAACCCGATCCAGGTTGATAATATCAGCGTATCAGAGTTTTTCTTTGGAGGAGTTCTTTTTTTTTACCTGTTTCTTCCTTAAAGCCCAATTTGCACCAGTGGAGCTCGGTCACTCTTGGGCTGTTCACGGCATCATTGGCACATCCTCACATTTCCAAACTTAACACAGTCTGAGTCATTAGGAGCTTTGAACAGTGTGAAAAATCACACGTCATAAAAATTCAGCTGAGAGAGGGAGAGAGAATATTTTTCACGCATAATGAACAGAGAGTTAGAGGGAACTGAACCCCCCCAGTGCCGGGAATTAGTCCTGCCTCAGTGGTGGAGCTCATCGGGACAAACCTCACAGCCTGCTCCCCTTTTCTCCCGTCTGCAGCATTACAGCCTGTTCTGAACACCGGGTGATGTTTGCCTGCTGAGACTGAGGAGTCTGTTAGAGACAGTCAGATGTGCTGCCTTTGTACGACTACATTCATGGGTTTATCTGCGTCTCTGTAAAACAAACACGGTGTTCGTCATTGTGTAAATGAACGAGTTTTTTAAAGTTTAATTAAAATAAGGCTCTGAATAACCTTGAACCGGCAAAGAAATCTCTGTTGTCGACTAATTGCAGAGTTTCACATGCTGTGAATCTTCCCGGTCCAATCCCTCTGCGCCCAGTTCTAATCATTAAAGCCAATTTCTTATTAACTTCCTCCCGTGTCTGGTCCTGTGCTTTCATTTCTTGGAAGATAACGCGCTTGTAGTGACAAGGTGTTTCTGAAATGAGCTTTTCCTATCAGTGCCCAGCAGAATTCACCCCCCGTCAAAGGAATATACCAAAATCTGCAAGAACATGAAGCAGATTATCTTAGCTGCGTGCTGTCGCACCCGATGCTGAGCTAAGATACCAAAACTTGAGTACGCTCAAATGAAAGTTTGAGACACTTCGTTACTGATGGTCTTTACGCCAAAGCAGCAGTGGAGAAGTTCACAGCCAGAGGTGACAAATGGAAGTGACTCTAAAAAGACAGGTGGAAGTGTTTGTCCCGTCTCTGTCAGGGCGGGAGTGGAGCTGAGACCGCTCTGCTGCTGACACAGGGGAAACAGCAGGGTACATCTGGACACAGCCCCAGTTTATTTCAGTGAAGCTGTTCGGCAGCTCACTGAACATGTGCAGAAACACAGTCAAATCACTGCTGTGGAGCAGGTAACAATAAATAACAACAAAAAAATAAAATAAAATTTGTCACACAAGGAACAAGACGCTGTAATAAATGAAATAAAAAATGAACGCCACATTTCTGTGAGTCGGCGGCCGAAACACACTCAGTCATGAACTGACAGTTGACACAATCACAGCTCTCTTCAAAGCCAGTGCATGTACATGCAGTGTTTATAGTATAGTGTGTTCTGATGAAGATAAAAGGTAAAAAAAAAAAACATAGTTTCTGTTCTGGTGCAAAAGATTTCGGTTGTGCAGTGTCAACAAACTGCAGGGTCTGACCTGTAATCTGCAATCGTCCAAGACAGTGAAATAAAATCCTCTGTTTCATTAATTGAAGTTGAACCTGCCACACCTGAGCTGATTCATGGTCTGATGTTGATCACCAAATAAAATGTTTCGCTACAGTCAAACACTCATTCCTCCCTGCTCCCAACACTCTTGTCTTGCAGGGAGTGCTTACAGGGAGTGCATGGAGAACGGGACGTGGGCGTTAAAGAGCAATTACTCCAATTGCGAGCCGATTTTGGAGGAGAAGGTTAGTGTGGCGATGCCGGCACAATCCTCATCATATCTTCATCATCCACACATTCAGTTAATTACTTCAGACAAATGCTTCATCAGTGTTGTCTCACACAACGCCACTTAATACACACAAAAAGAAAACGGATCGCGTGCTGCCCGAGAGCTTCTTGTTTACGTCCCTGCAAACGCTTCTGTCTGAACGAATCGACACGATGAACACGAGGGCACACCTGCTCGTGTCTCCATGTAACTTTTAGCCTGATTAGCTCATGTCATGACGAACACTCAGTCCCATTAGGCCTTAACAGCAGAGGTGTGATGTAGTATTTCAGTCTCTCTCAGCTCTGCAGAAATGTATTAACTGTGTATGTTGTATGTCTGAATCAAAAAGCATCAGATGTGTAACCTTTGTCTGTGTCCTGTGTTTCCTTTTCCAGAGGAAATATCCAGTGCATTATAAAATAGCACTGATCATCAACTACCTAGGCCACTGTATCTCCGTGGGAGCTCTGGTCGTGGCTTTCATTCTCTTTTTGTGCCTGAGGCAAGTACAGAAATAGTGCCTTACCTAATGTGTACTTTATGCTTGAGACCTCATGGAAGACAATCCAGGAAATTCATGAAATCATTAGCTCAGTTATATGAAAGACAAAAAGCCTGCAGCTCATTCTTCACTTTGTGAAACGCAGCATGAGAAAGGAACTCTGTGTTTCTCAGCAAAAGAAAAAGAAAAAAAACCCAGCTTTGTATACAGTTAATTTCCTGTTTTTTCAGGAAGAGGAACAGTTGTTTTAGACAATTGAAACAAGTGATTATGATTTTCTTTATAAATAAAATCTCAGATTGTGAATGTGAAGAATCTCTTAATATTTAATGAGAGTTAAAACCCCCAATGTCTTACAACTGTGTAAAGAAAGTTAACTTTTAAAGAAGCTTTCACAGAAGGAGGTTTGAATTCAGGGATTTTTTTTAACATTTTCTTTGGTTTGTTTAGCTCACAAATTCACAGATATGGCTTTAAATCCCCATAAAACATTTAACAAAGTTTCATTGAATTTTAAATCAAATTTAAAAATGAGAAAATTTGGCACGGTTTAAGAAAACATTGAACCAATAATTATTATTTTTTGCTGGCCATATGTCACTTTGATGTATTTCTCATTTGAGCTTCGCTTCAGGGATTAATGGAACAATCCTGCCGTGTCCTTGCCTTGGTTAACGTCAAAACAGCCAGAAATCAGAGAGCATGAGAACAGGAGGGCTTACAGTCTGCAGTAACCAACCACAGCCTCTAGGGGACATGCTGTACAGATATGTGTTAAAGTAAAGTACAGAAAACTTACATTTTTGGGTTATAAATTAGACCCTCTTCATTGGAGACCATTCAGGACTGTAGACAGAGCACCACAAGTACTTTCTGTTTTGTTTTTGTTTTTTTTAATCATGCTTTTTAAAATCTTTATTTGTGCTGAGTCTTGTACTGAAAACTCCAAAGGCCTTCTGGGAAAAGACCTGTTTCACCAAAATAAGCCTTCGCATTAGTGGTTTCCTTGGCTACTGACGCATAACAAAACCATCACAGATGCTGGGTGAAGCCATGACGTTATTGGTAGTGGGTCACATGATCATAAGTGGGATCCAGGACCTGTGTCCACATGTTGCTTTCTTTTGTTTGGGAGAGAGGAAGAGAAGGGGGTGAGTGTGGGCTGCTGGTTGTTGTTTTGTTTAGCCCTAATTTCAGTTGTTATTGATTTATCAATGCACTGTACTGAGAAAGCGTTTTAGCTAATAAATACTTTCATACTGTACTTTACTTTACTTATCAACTACTGTTTTTGATAACGCATCTGACAGCCGGGCCTGTTCTCAGCCTCTCAGCGGCTTTAAACTTTCGAGCTGCTACACTGGGTTTGGACTGATTATTGATAAAACCTCTCTTGATGGTTTGATTTTGATTTCAGCCTTTTTGACTCACCAAACCAAAAAAGCTGAAATCAAAATAATAAAAATCTCATCTCCCACTGAAAACTGAATGGTCCACTTAGCAGAACAGGATACTAATGTCCTGCAAACTTTAATAACAGGCCCAGTATCTCTCTGTCTCTCTCTCTCTGTCTGGCTCTCCTCCATTCCCCTCTCTCACCCTTTCTTTCTGCTTCTCTCTTCCTGTCAGATAAACACTCTCTCTCCCTGCATGCCCGTTCTTGTTTGCTCGCTCTATATTTGAGGATATTTTATTAAATTGCGAGGCAACGTCAAAGACTCCCAGAAGACTTGTGATGTCACGTGACTAAATCTATCAGGGCAACGTGTCGTTTCTGAACTGCCCAAGGGCTTGGAAGTCAAGCATGTCAAATATTTAATTTTTTTCAGTGTAAGAAAGTGGGAACTTTTCAGGATTTTTTTTGTTTGTGTTATTATATTAATTAGTTCATCAAAGTTTGATGCTAATAAAATCGCCTGTTTCATATTTGTGGTTCAGGAGCATCCGATGTCTTCGTAACATCATCCACTGGAACTTGATCACCACCTTCATCCTGAGGAACGTTATGTGGTTTTTGCTTCAGTTGATTGACCATAATATTCACGAAAGCAACGAGGTGAACACGCGGCTGTACTGTGTGACTAACTATAAGAAGAATGATTCAAAATATTCTCATCAGAAAAGAAGATGTTTCCCTTTCAGTGACTCCTCTTTTTGTCCCTGTTTCCCAGCCCTGGTGTCGATTGATCACCACCATATACAACTACTTTGTGGTGACCAACTTTTTCTGGATGTTTGTCGAAGGATGCTACCTTCACACAGCCATCGTAATGACCTACTCCACCGATAAGCTGAGAAAGTGGGTGTTCCTTTTCATCGGGTGGTGTGAGTACGACGCCTTGTGTTTATCTCATCCAGGCATGTTGCGTTGTACTTGAAATGATAAGTTGATAATGATAAATGGGCAAATGATAAGGTTGCGTTGTACTTGAAATGATAAGTTGGACGTGGATGTGCGGAAGTTTAAATTCCCATTTGCCCATTTGTTTTTATTGAAAAACTATTATGAGCAGGGTTTCTTTGGTCTTTGACTACACTGTCCTATTTTTCAAGATGACAGTATTCGTACACCACTAACATGACATGAATAAAGCATGATTAACAAAGTTAATGATTGACTTGAACATAAAACGGGATTCAAGACATTTCCTTTGAGTGATGGAGACCTTTTGTGCCTGCGGTTTCTGTAAACAGATGTTCTGATCATTATGAATCTTAAGTAAGAATCAGAATCGCAATTCTGCCTCATGTAAACAGGATGCATTTGCAAATCAAAATCCAATATGCAGGCACGAATGTCAGAGAGGAGCAGATTGAATCAATAGTTCACAGTGAGGAAACAAGCAGAGGCATGTGGTTTGTTTACAACATCCACTACTTCCAGAGGATTAGACAAAGCTGCACTTGTCAAATGGGATTATATTTATTCAGTGCTAATTGCACATATGCTCACATCGGCATCGGATAATCTGATTATAAATCTGTGCAATCACTAATGTTGCAGTGATCTAAATTGCTATAAATTGTATGAAAAAAACACACTATATATGTTGGTGACAAAAAGCTACAACAATAATAATAATAATAATAATTATATATATACATTATATTTTTTATTTTAATTTTAATAGTGTTCATGGAAGGACACATAACTAAGTTTTAATGGGAAATAATGAAAGACGACAGAGCGACTCATCCACAGATGTTGATCAGATGTTGGCTGGAATAGAAAGACACTGTGTTTTTCCAGCTCGATTTCATTGATTTTTTTCAGCAAATGGCTCTTCAACAAAAAAAAAAATAAGCTGCTCACCTCCCTTTACCGTGTCTCATATGTGTACTCAAGCTGCATGATGTTTTGCTCAATTTGCTTCTCAGTGCACCACCAAGGTTTGAAATTATTGAGCAGTGGTTTCTGTGAAAGGTTTCCCTGAACCAGACACTACTGAGGCTTTTAGTGTTGGGGTTTTTTTTCAACTTTTTCAGCAGAACATAAAGGACGCTAAAGACTAAAGTGAAGGACATGTAAATCGGACCCTTAATTAAGCCCAATTAGACTGAACAAAATGCTAATTTTATGTGTCTCAGTATCTGAATGTAACCAGTAATGGTAGCAGTGTGTTGAAAAACCCTCATGTTTCCGACTGCAGCTTTGGGGAAAATATGATGAAAGAAAAACATTTCCTGCATTTTGCAACAGTTAGCTGACTAAATAATGACCCATTGTCTACTAAATTAGCCAACAACTGGCTTTGATCCTCAGCTATTTGTTTGAACAGATTTTATTGAACAGAAACAAGTCCTTCAATTTCTTCATTTCAAATGTGAAAATGTTCAAATTGCTTATCTCCTATCAGACACGTCAACCACTGTCTTTATTTAATGATTGATTTCAAGGACATGAACTTTGAGTATTTGAGTATTTGAAAGTATATGTATCTGCCAACACTGGTTCAAAATACATGGGGATTGTTGTAATGTTGATAATGTCCATGTTTTTCCCGTCACAGGTATACCGTTTCCCATCGTTGTGGTGTGGGCCATTGGGAAGTTGTATTATGAAAATGAACAGTAGGTATTTCTTCTCTATTCTACTTTTTCTTTCTCTCAACACCTGCTGACAGTTCATTATAAACACATAAAAGCATGTAGGTCTTTTCTTTGCCCATAAATAATCTGTATTATTTTCCACTGACAGGTATTTCCGTAGACTTGTGTTTGTCATTAGCTCCTAACGGCTCCTTGTTGTTCTCTGTCAACAGATGTTGGTTTGGCAAAGAGCCAGGCAAATATATGGACTTTATTTATCAGGGGCCTGTGATTCTTGTACTACTGGTAAGCACAATGCACACGGCCATCACACTCCACTTATCGACGCTCGTTATTTCCACATTATTTCCCTAAAACCATTACTTTTCTTTATCCTCAAGTTAATGTCAGATTTATAGAAAAGTCTTCTGGCAAGTGAGAAGTGAAAACAAAGTGCCCACAGATGAAAATGGTTTTATAATGAAACCTATTTTCCTTCCCACACACAGTTTGAAAGGTTGAATTAGTCTTCCAGATGGGTTACAGATTTGTCACCTGCTGAAATCATGAACTTCAAAAGCGACACACCCACAAAAATCCCTGCAGTGTGTTTTTGGGGAACAGGCTCTTTGGTCGTGGTCCCGTTCCTGCCGCTGATTTATGTTGACTTGTCTGAGATCGGCATCTCTGACGTGTGCCGCGTTTTCTTCAGTATTTGATCCATCGTCACTCAGCAGCACAACGCTTCTCTCGGTTAAAAATCTCTACTGTGTGTCATTTATTTCAGATCAATTTTGTTTTCCTCTTCAACATAGTAAGAATCCTTATGACCAAACTCAGAGCGTCGACCACGTCTGAAACCATCCAGTACAGGTGAGTGGAAACCACTTTTGTCAGCGTGGACTCTGATGTGTTTTCATCATCATTATGTCCATCAGGTCATTGATAATTCAAAAGTCTCTGTAGATCTTCAACATTAAAACCTTAAAATGGAAATAATACTAGACTTCACATCAATTTGTAATTAGTTACTTTTATAAAAAAATAATTATTTAATGTTTTTTTTATCATTAAGAATAAAAATAATATGCTGCAGAATACATATGTGTCCAGAACTAATTCAATAATACTAATTTACTCATTCTAATAACTAAAGTACTGACTAATCTTGTTTAAGATCATGAGAAAAATTGACAAATGTCGGCCGCGCGACAGTTTCTGGAACTCAAACGTGACATTTAATTTATGGGGCTGTAGTAATCTTCTAAAGAGCCTCTACAACAAAGGCTTCTGGGCTCTTGCAGCTCTTTAGTGTCTGCCATGTTTCCCCCCAAAGGTAAAGTCTAGACAAACAAATTGACCTGAGTGGGTGCAGTGTAGTTACAGTGGGCGGAGGTGGGAGGCCATTTCATTTGGAGCCAGCAGTAATCTGTAGAGAAGGAGAACCCTCTGCTGCGTCCGACTACACTGAGGGAGAGAGTGAGCGACGGCGAAGAGTCGGTGTCTTTGTGTCGTGACCAGGGAGTGTGTTTGGAGCCTAGAACCTACAGTATCTTGTCAGAATATCCACTTTAATGTATAGTGAGAATCACATCTTTTCTAAAGCTGCCATAGATGAAATCCCCAGTGTGATGTTTGTCTTTTTGTCTTTTATAAATAACGCTCTGTCTTTGTTTCACAGAAAAGCAGTGAAAGCCACCCTGGTCCTGCTCCCCCTGCTCGGCATCACATACATGCTCTTCTTCGTCAATCCGGGGGAGGACGACATCTCACAAATCGTTTTCATCTATTTCAACTCCTTCCTACAGTCTTTTCAGGTGAGAACAATGTGTTTGATGCAGTGCGATGCTGACCTAGAAAATCTGCACATGGTGATGTGATTCCAGTTGATTTCCTGCTGNCTGAAGGAGGAGGGGGGTGGAGGTGGAGGTGGGGGGGTTGCAGATTCCGAGTCTGTGGGAAAGTGGTTTGAACTGAGATACTGACCATGTATTAGCAGTAGTTTTTATCGGCTACTCTTTGTGTCGGTTTTTATTACAATTTTTTTTTTTACCCGTGGTGTAAAGGAAAGAGTCGGAAACAGAACGATGGAAAAGTGGGTTTTTATGTAAAGGAAAGAGTCGGAAACAGAACGTTGGAAAAGTGGGTTTTTAAGACGAGTTTCTGTATTCAGTGAGTTAAGAACCGAAGGGATGAGAGGAACAGATGAATGGAAATGATGATGTTAATGTTTTTAAAACCTGAGGTGGGAAATTGTTTGATTTTTGTCTTCACGTGCTGCACAGACATCCTGTTCTGATGCTTTTAGTGAAAGTTTACAGCCGTGACCGGGCGGCGAGAAAAGTGCTTTTTAACTACTGCACATTTACCATCTGAACTGTCTTTGGTGTAATTAAGCTGCCAGGGCTGGCACATTTATTACTTCTGACTGTGTGTGTTATTCTGCAGGGGTTCTTCGTGTCAGTGTTTTATTGCTTTCTAAATGGAGAGGTGAGTCTGTGGGGTTTGGAGGAAAGATTTATCTTTTTTTATTTTTTTTTATTGATTTTCATCACATTATGCTAAGTGTCTCTTGATAAATTAACTAAATAAAACCATTAACAAAGTCAGGTGCTTTAATAGTATTGTTTTGACTCTCAGCAGATCCCTAACTTTTGAATTAAATACTAGTAGTGATAATATTCCTAATCTGGTAACTGGTTTCTAACATTAGAACAAAAACAAACATTCGCCGAACTCGGCGTCACTGACTGCAAATCCGTCACTTCAACTTCTGCAGGTTCGCTCTGCAGTGAGAAAACGGTGGCACCGCTGGCAGGACAACCATGCGCTTCGCGTGCGAGTGGCACGCGCACTGCCC